GTGACAGTGTTGGTCACAATGATAAGAACATAGTAGGTGATCATGTATAGTTCTCCCTCTGTATTTCCTGACCAAGGCTTGCTTCAGTGCTGCGCATTCAGAAGGTGCCTATAAATAATGCAGAGTTGCCAGGCGGTGGTGACACATGCCTTTAATCCCAGCATGCAGGAGGCAGATCTCTGTGAGCCAGCCTAGTCTATAGAGAGTCCAGGACAGGCTCTAGAGCCACAGGGAAGCCCTATCTGAAAAAAGTGAAGAAAAAAAAATCCAAAGACTTGCAGGAGTGAGTGACCCAGACACAAGTGCCTGAGCATGTGTGTGAAGTCCGGGACTTGGTGCCTACGGTTCAGAAGCCCAAATCAGCCCTAGACTGAAGCTGCCAGAGTCCAAACATCTGGAGCTCTGTGTTCCACATCTGTCTAACTTGGGGCAGGTGATTCATGTTTTCAGTTGAGGATCAGGTTGTCAGGAGGTCTCTTTCAGAGCCTCATGCAAAAAAGGAAAGGCAAGGTCTGCAGTGAGCTCTCTGCAGGGCTGTAGTGGGCTCACCCTCTGTGACAACATGAGGATCTCCTAGCCTGCCATGGGAAGTGGCAGCATGGACCACACACCTTGGACAGTAGAAGCAGAACTCCACAGTGTCACCTCTGGTTAAACACAAGCCCTGGGCATTTCTGTCATTACTTTCTTCATTTTCTTGATTGCTCTTTCTGTCAACACTACATCTGATGTACAAGTTTTTTGTGAACTATTTCTTGTTATTTATATAGTACCAGATGGTATTCAACCCAGTTCACCCCCACCCCCAAACAGAGAGCACAAAAGGAAAAAAAATCACAGAGAGCACAAAAGGAAAAAAATCTCATTATAAAAGGGTAACTTTTAAAATGCTGAATGCCAGAATTTAGCTGGAAGTGCTAGGATCTCTTTTTTTCTTTTCTTCTTCCTTTTTTTTTTTGGCTGTGCTCATCCTAGCACAAACACTATTCGTGCCCTTTGCTGAGAGACTTGCCTGACAGCTGCATGCACCCACCAGCTCCACCCAGGGACAGTGGCTTACCTTGAACCAGCCCAGGGAAATGGAGGTGCTCTGTGCTTTTCTGTTTCTCATAAGTGTCCTGCAAGCACACTTGTGTAGTACTTGGGCTTTAGATAAGCCTGCCTGCCTCAGTGGTGTTTCCTGTTCTGTAAGACTGTCAGAACTAAATGACATCACACACAACTAGTAAGTGAAATGACACTAGGTGAAGCATCACCCACAAGAGAACACATACATACACACACGGCCGTTAGGCTGCTTGTACTGCTGCCTTGTTTGTTTCTTGTTTTGTTTTTGGGGAAACACGGTCTTGATGTATAAGCCAGGGTATCCTTCAGTTTACAGCAGTCCTCCCACGTGTTACCACACCCAGTTTTTTGACAATTTAAGTTGCAACCTAAGTCCAGGCATAGTGGGGCAGGCCTTTCATCCTAGCACTTGGAAGACAGAGGCAGATCTCTGAGTTCCAGGCCAGCCTACCATGCATGGTAAGATCTTGTTGTCATCCCCCCGCCCCCACCCCGTAATAAATAAACAACAACCTAAGCTCATAATCACCTGTGGTAGCTGAGGACACGCAAGTGAAAAGCCAGATGTTGTGGCACTGGGAAAGTAGAAACAAGCAGATCCTTGGGACTTAGTGGCCAACTACCCTAGCTAGTGAGAGACGTGAATCAAAACAAAGTAGACTCCTGAGAAACAGTACCCAGGGTTGACCGCTGCCTCCACTCACACATGCACGCACATGTACACATGCATACACACATGAAATAAGAATAATGTCAGTTTTCATTGTTTCCCAGCACTTTAAATTATTTTCTTCATTAAGCTAACTAAAGTTTAAAATCATGAATGGTTGCTAATACTTCTTTCAGTTTGGCTGTACACGGCTAAAACTTAAAGCAGATGGGATCTTTCACATATGTGACACTTGTGAACACCACTGTGATATCCATACAGTAAACTAGCAAGAACTTGAAGCAACCATGCAGACACAATCTGCCTTGCATCAGTCTTGCTTTATAACCAGTGACAGAACATGTCACCACTTCTCTTTAAGGCTGTCTTCTGTGAGTGGGGAGCTGTCATCTTTAAATCGTTGTTTATAAACGGCATTGAGATCTTGAACTATCCAGTGCTGCCAACTTGGAAGGCACTAGTCATTTGTATGTTGATTGGAGGTGGAACATGAAGCTCTGCCCAGTCCGACATGTTTGCCCTTGCCTGGGTCACTGTGTTCCAAGCCTTGCTGTAGAGCTGGGGAGAGGAAGGTGAAGGGTGGACCTAACACCTGTCAGTTTGGGCCTCACCCTATGAGTTCACGGGGAATCAGTCAGGATGCTCATTGTTTGAAAGGATCAGATTTTTAAAATGGGATGGAAGAAACGCCTCTCAAATAAGGCAACAGATAATGAGGAAAACATTACACATAGCTCACTGTACAGGCAGCTCCTGGTGGAGCTTTAACTGTTTCTCCATTGTTTCTATTTTTTTCCCAGGTAATTTTGTTTTTCTTTTACTACCAAACAAGGCTGTGTTCCAGCTACTGTAGAGGCTGGGGTGAGAAAAGCTCTCAATCTCAGAAGTCATGAGATAGCCTGGACAACACAATGTAGTTCTGTCTCAATCAATCAACCAACAGATCTATAAATAATATTTCCTTTTTTCTTTCTTGCCTTTTTTAGAGATCTTTTAAAAATGTATTTATTTTGTATATGTGCATGCACACATGTGCCATGGTGCATGTGTGGAAGTTAGAAGACAAGTTACAATAGTCAGGTTTTTTTCTTTTCTTCTACTATGTGGGTCCCAGGTATCAAACCCAGGGCACCAGGCTTGGCAACAAGTGTCTTTACTTGCTGAACCATCTTGCTGACAGAATTCCCCTTCTCTGTCTGGAGCCTGTGTTTGTTTGTTTGTTTGTTTGCTTTGGTAGAGACAGAAAGTTGCTTATATGGTCCAGGCTGGCCTGCCCCAAGCTTACAAACCTCCTTCCTCAGCCTACAAATGCTGGGATCACAGGCATACACCACCACAGCCAGCTTTAAAACCTGATTTGGTGGCACACGCCTTTAATCCCAGCACTCAGGAGGCAGAGGCAGGCAGATCTCTGTGAGTTCTGGTCTCCAGAGCAAGTGCCAGGCTATGCTCCAAAGCTACACAGAGAAACCTTGTCTCAAAAAACAAAGACAAAACAAAACAAAACAAAAACTGATTTGAAGCTTTGCAAGAGGTTCTTCACGCCTCTTTAAAATGAAGTAGGGGGTTAGAGAGCTGGCTCAGTGATCAAGAGAACTTGTTACTCTTGCAAACAGCCTAGGTTCATGTCTATAAAAATAAGTATTTTCTTGCCAGAGATATGAAGGCCTTAGGGCTGCTGACCTCCCCTCTGAATGGAGCTTAAGGGTTGTGTTTGGCTTAAGAAGGTTTGAATAGGCAACCCTGTTTGGCTGTGAGAGGCCAGTCCAGCAGGGCTCCTCCAAGACAGGGTCAGGAATGAGTACCTGCCAGGTGACATAAGCTGAGAGCCCCCAGCCCTCCTGTGTATCCCCAAAAGGCAGAGTCACTACACTGTTAATTCTAGGGCAAGACTCTGCTTCTCCCATGGGTGTGCAAGCTTGAGCTCCAGTTTGTTTGTTTGGGGGTTTTTGTTTTGTTTTGCTTTTGTTATTATTTTATTTTGCTTTGTTTGAAACAGGGTCTCTTTATGTAGACCGCTGGCTATCCTGGAACTCACTATGCAGACCAGGCTGGTCTCCAATTCATAGAGATCCTCCTGCCTCTGCCTTCTGAGTGCTGAGATTAAAAGTTTGCACCACCACTCTCAGCCTCATTTTTGCTCTTTTTCTTTTCTTTCGTTTGTTTTCTTGTTTTTTTTTTTTTTTTGTTTTTTTTTTTGTGTGTGTGTGTGTGTGTGTGTGTGTGTTTTCAAGACAGGCTTCTTTGTATAACACTCCTAGCTGTCCTGTAGACCAGGACAGCTGGCCTTAAACTCACAAGAGATCCATCTGCCTCCCAAGGCATGAGCCACCACTCTTTGGCTTATTTTTGTTGTTCTTAACCAGTCGAAGATCACATTAGACATGATATGAAACAGTGTACTTGTGTGTGTTGGGGAAGGGGGAGGTTACAGCTCATGCCCATCATCCTAAACTTAGGAGGTTAAGACAGGAAGATTGCTGTAAGGGCAACCTGAACTACAGAGTAAGTTCCAGGCCAGTTTGGACTACCATGTAAGACCCTGTCTCAAGAAACCAATAAATAACAATAATAAAATCCCAAACTCTTCCCAATTTACTTGAAAAAGGGTGTGTAAGTTAATTCTCTTCTAGTTTTTTCTGTGTTCCACCACATTTAGCCCAGCTGCTAAATCTCGACAATCTCTCAAGCTACAACTACTCGAAAGTAGACATCCCTCCCCTGTTCTTCAGTTCGTGGTGGTGGTGTCCCACTATGACAGTGGTTGTCAACCTTCCTAATGCTGTGATTCTTTAATACCTCATGTTTGGTGATCCCCCAATGATAAAATTATTCTTGTTGCTACTTTATAACTGTAATTTTGCTACTGTTATAAATCATAATGTAAATATCTGATAAGTGACCCCTGTGAAAGGGTTGTTCAACCCCAAAGGTGTCGAGGCCCACAAGTTAAGAACCACTGATTCCTCTGCCTAGTGATGTGGTGAGCATCCCTTACAAGATATTTGCTTGGGTGGGAAGGCTGCTGGAAGCCTTAGGTGGAAACAGTAGGAAAAGGAACAGAGCCTGTACTTGCATGCTTGTTTTCCCTCAAAAGCAGCCTCAGTGTCACAGAGCTGGTATGCCAGCAGAGGCCAGTCCCTATGGTACCAAGTAGTGACCTAAATTCTGTCCCCCACACGCCTTCCGCCTTCCCCAGTAACAGGTAGCACAGTTTCCTGTAGGATCTCTAAAACCTGGTCCTGTCCTGTCTCTGTTTCAGATGCCATGGCAGAATGTGGAGCATGTTGGTGACCAGAGCCCTTATGTCACTTCTGTTATTCTTCACATTAAGCAGAATGTCCCCATCATCCGTGACAACCTGGCTTCCACACGAAAATACTTCACGCAGTTCTGCATTAAATTTGCAAAGTAAGTCCTGAGCTGTTTCTTGATGCCCTTTCTGTTTTTATCTCCCCAGATAAATGAGCAGGAGATGCCCATGTACCCATCTGCTCATGGCCATGCCTTTCACAAGCATTGTGCCGTTCACGAACCACACTGATGGTCAACCCCAGGATCGCTCTCCATGTGTATTTTTCTGAGTTGGAGAGATCTGTGATGGTTCTGGTATCATACTCAGTGTATTTATTTTACTGCTGTATTTAACCACCCGGTGTGCTCACAATCCAGGTGTCCCACCTTCTAGCTGGGCTCATTCTGGGACCTCCAAGAAAATCAATATTCTTCTGTACTCTAAAGGGCCATAATGGTAAAAGCAAATGGGCCACTTCAGGTCATGTGCATGCTTGCAGCAGCAGTCATAAGCCATGGCAAACAGGATCGATTTGTAGTATCTTGCTGTTCCGAATTTTGTACATGAAATGACCTCTTGCCAGGGTTTTTATTTTTCAGTAAGTTCATGTGAGCATTTTATCTCTGACTAGATTATAAACTTCACCAGAGTTGAACCCCTCAGTTGTGCCTTTGAGCCTTTACTTCCTCCTTCTCCATAGGACTTGTTATTGTACCTGCCAGGAATCACCCACTTTACATCCAGGCAGAGTACTAGAAATTAGGATCAGCAAGTTGTTGAGCTCCATTGCCAAAGTGGATGGAGCAAGCACCAAGTTGCCTGCCTTCTGGTCATGTCCTTGTGTGTGGTCATTTCTGCCTTGAATTTTGAAGCAAAGAAGTAGTTTGGTTCTTTGCCAGTCAACATCTGGCTCCGGCACTGTTCCCCAAGAGCCCAGGCAGTGATGAGGGCCAGTGTCTCCTCTGACCAATTATCAGACGCACAGTTTGGCAAGTTGCTCCAGGAAGGTCAGTGCTGTCCAAGCTACCGTATTTGGATTGTTCTCGTCCAGGTCTCAACTGGTGACTCAGGCATCTGAGTTTCTCTTTCCCCCAGATCTCTCCCGGATTGTATTCAATTAGATTCCCCCCATCTGACATAAATAAACCCCAAGGAACAACAGTGACAGAGTAGCTGTAGAGTTAACTTTAGTTTCAACCTCATCAGGAAGGCTTGGGCTGACTCCCCAGGGAGCATTTATGTTTGAAGGCCACAGATGGACCAGGAGCTGACATTCCCTTCTCTCTCTGGGTGCTCATTAATGTGCACTAACAGCACTGCTGATAAATCACTTGTGACATTCCCTGCAACCACTGCTACAAGTGTCTCTGTAAAAATCTACTGTGACTCAAAAATCTCCGTTGTGGGCACCCAGGGGTCCGATTGAGCTAAGGTTAAAGTGAATAAGGAGTCCATTGCTCAGCCCATCCAAGTATCAGCCTCACATTCTCTCATGGCCTTTTAATTGTATTACTAAGTTCATTCTGAGTGGTCTGGGGATAGGGTGCCCATCCCCCACATATGGAAAAGTTTAACCTAAGTCTAAGAAAGTTTTGTGCTTTAACTCTTGGTACCCTCCCATCCTTATAAAATCTCAGCCAAGAGTAGTAGCCGCCATTTCCATCTTGGTGGCCCTTGGCAATGATACATCACATTGCTGGGATTTCTTCTCCAAAGATGTGTGCCTGGATTATCCCCATGTTTCTCCTGTTCATCCAACATGGACTAGCCAGGGCAAGGTCAAGGACACAGCCACAGCATACTCTAGTATGAAGTAGCTTCCATTACGAGCTGTATGTACAGGTGTGATGAGTCCCAAGTTTAACCTTACTTGTTTGGCTCAGCCATCCAAGAGGCTTCCAGACAGCCTCTTGTTCACAGTCCCTCTAGATTAGTAGGCCCACTCCTGTATCTGACCTCTGAATTTTAGGTCCTCTTCCATCATTTCCTTTCCTGCTCCACAAGTGCTGGTCCATCTGGCTACATTGCCTCCAACAGCAGCTTTTCCTGATGATTTAACAAGGTCACTCCTGGTTGAAACTGAAGTTTGGATCACAGATGACTTCTCTCACCCACTAAACTAGTACATCTTGACTCCAAGAAATTGTCCCAGAAGTCCTTACAGTGTGCAGGAGAAGATATGTTGAGATTGAAGGAGGAGAACACAGACCTGGATGGAGCAGGGAAGAGGGAGGAGACAGGTGACAGCCAGCCTTGGTGGAAACCCTGCCCTTTCTATCCTTCCTCCATGATCCTGGGCCCCGGAGCAGCTCCTGCTCAGCACACTCCGGATCTTGCCTAGTTATACATGTCTACCTTCCACAGCTTTGGAACTGCAGCAGCACAGCTCAGCTCCCTGACTCAGGCCCTGATGTTTTGATTTTCTCTGCTCTTCACCCTAAACAGCATTACCAGTCCATCTGGCCTAAGCTGGTGCTCAGCGCTCAGCAGATTTTTAGAAAATTGTGTAATTTTTGTTTCTTGGTAAGAGAATTACTGCCCTAGAAATTCATTTCTTGGTTTTGCTTTAAGACACCCTAATTGCCCGTGTGTCTTTAGCTCTTGCCACTGTTCAGATATTTTCAGTTATTGGTACTCAAATGGACTTGAATGGAAAGGTAGATTTTCCTTTTGTTTGTTTGTTTTTGAGACAAGGTTGCTCTATGTAGCTCTGGATGTCCTAGAACTCATTATGTAGACCAGGCTGACTTTGAACCCACAAGGGATCTGCCTGCCTCTGTTTCCTGAGTGCTAGGGTTAAAGACATGTGCTATCACACCTGGCACAAAATGGATTTCAAAAATTTTATGTAACCTCAAGTCTAGAGGAATTAGGACTTGAGAGTGGTTTATTTAGGATGGAGAGATGGCCCAGTAGTTACGGGCATGCTACTTCTGACCGAGGTCCCTCGTTCAGCACTCACATGGCGTAGCTCGTATCAGCCTGTAACTCCAGCTCCAAGAGAGCCAATGTACTCTTCTAGCCCCAGTGGCACCTGCACACACACACACACACACAGACACATACACTAAAATAAAAATATATAAACCTTTTTTTAGCAGGGCGATGGTGGCTCACGCCTTTAATCCCAGCACTTGGGAGGCAGCAGCAGGCGGATCTCTATGAGTTCGAGACCAGCCTGGTCTACAAGAGCTAGTTCCAGGACAGCCTCCCAGCACTCAGGAGGCAGAGGCAGGCAGATCTCTGTGAGTTCGAGGCCAGCCTGGTCTCCAGAGTGAGTGCCAGGATAGGCTCCAAAGCTACACAGAGAAACCTTGTCTCGGAAAAAAACAAAACAAAACAAAACCTTTTTTTAAAACAAGCCATTGCTTTAGGGTTTCAGTGGTTTTATGAAGACCTGGAATATTCTTTCTTTGAGATTGGCCACATCCTCAGAATGATGGTAGAATGACAAGTATAGATATTTTATCTAACTCAACAGCTCCCTAATCAGGAAGAGGGAGTCTCACGGCAACCTTGCCCTGAGGTTCTTCCTTCCACATGATTAGACTGCAATAGAGTAATTCCCCATCTTAGGACCTCAAATAGTCACAGTGGAACCAACTGAAGCTCAGTAGTATTGACCTCTGTAGGACCAGAGTGTAGCTCAGTGGAAGGGTTCTTGAGACCTGGGTCCATCCCCAACACCATAAACAAAATTAATTCACCTCTCTAGCTTCAGATGGGATAAGCTTTCCCCAGAATCCCAAGACTGCTCTTCTTTAAACAAAACTGGTGCTAAAATTAGAAGGAAAGAATAGGCGGTACGTGGGGCATAGTGGATGGTAGTGTCCACCTGAATTCTTGCTTTTCTCATGAAAGGGAATAGAACCTTAAATAGTTTCTGCCACTTGCTGCCTTTAATCCCAGCACTCGGGAGGCAGAGGCAGGCGGATCTCCTTGAGTTTGAGGCCAGCCTGGTCTGCAGAGCAAGTTCCAGGACTACATAGAGAAACCTTGTCTCAAAACAAAACAAAAAAAAAAAAAAAAAAAAAAAAAAAAAAAAAAAAACAGGGACTGGAGAGATGGCTCAGAGGTTAAGAGCACTGACTGCTCTTCCAGAGGTCCTGAGTTCTATTCCCAGCAACCACATGGTAGCTTAAAAAACCATCCGTTATGAGATCTGGTGCCCTCTTCTGATGTGCAGATATACATGGAAGCAGAATGTTGTATACATAATAAATAAATAAAATCTTTAAAAAAAAAACAAAAAACAAACAAAAAGTTTCTGCAGCTCTTTACTACAAGGAGAATAAGCATAACTTGTCACTTTTATGTCCACAGCTCATTCATCCCCAAATTCATCACTCACCTCTTCAAGTGCAAGCCAATCAGCATGGTGGGAGCAGAGCAGGTAAGGTGAGCTTTGTGTGGGCTTTTACCTTCAGCCTTTGTCATGTGTGGGCCTCACCTTCAGCCTTTGTCATGTGTGGACCTCACCTTCAGCCTTTGTCATATGTGGGCTTCACCTTCAGCCTTTGTCATAGATCCAACACATGTGCTCAGGTAGCCGCAGTCTGAAGAGTCTGTGATTGGCCACTCTTTGCTTCCTTGTATTGATTTTTGAGATAGGTTCTCATATTGTAGCCAAGACAGAACTCAGCTCAAGTAGATAATCACAAACCTCAGTGAAGTGTGCAGAAGGTCACAAAACAAAATTTGGGAAAACTGTCTTAGGGTCATAACAGTGAAGGCTTCGGATTTCCTGAGGGCTGGTACTGGAGGGACAAGGGGCAATGTTCTAAGACCAGTGGAGACTCTGAATGTGGCTGGGCAGAGGCCACCTGAGGGATCCAACAGGGAGAGCCTGAACTCACCTCCCCAGGAAGCTCCTGTGATGGGCTCATCTCTCCTCAGCTGAATTCTCAGCTGAATAATGGCACATGCCTGTAATCCCAGCACTTAGGAGGCTAAAACAGTAGGATTCTGAACTCAAGGCCAATGTACAATATACAGTGAGACTTGTCCTAAGGAAACAAAGTCTTAGTTCATGTCATCTGAACCCTGATGAACTGAGTTATATAATATAGCAAAGTCACTTTCATATCCCACTGATTAATTTTGAAAATAAAAACAGGAACTAGAGAGATCTCTCTGTGGTGAACACTGACCAAAAGAAACTTGAGAAAGAAAAAGTGTATTTGACTTATGGGTTGCAGCTCATCACCAAGGGAAGCCAAGACAGGAATTCAAGGCAGGAACTGAGGCAGAGACCGTGGAGGAAGCTGCTTATTGGCTTGCTCTCCATGGCTTGCTCATCCTACTCTCTTATATAACCCAGGACCACCAGTCCAGGAATAGCATCTCCCACAACAGTCTGCACGCTCTCACATCAATCATTAATCAAGAACGTTCTCCATAGACATGCCCAAAGGCCAGTCTGATGGAGGCAATTCCTCAGTTGAGGTTCCCTAATCCCAGGTAACTCTACTTTGTGTCATGTTAACAAAAACTGATTGGCACACTATGCAAGGATATGGATCTGAGTTTGATCTCTATAAAAAAATCACCCACATAAAAAGTCAAGAATAAGGGGATAGAGAGATGACTCAACAGTTAAGATCATTTCTTACTCTTTCAAAAAAATACTTTGATTCTGCTCTCAGAACCCTTACTGGTCATTTTACAACCATCTATAACTCCAGTTCCAGGGGAAATCTGATGCCCTCTTCTGTCCTCCACAGGCACTGCACACATACAGATAAGCAGATACACACACACACACACACACACACACACCCACACACACACACACACACACACACACACAAAATTAAAAACAAACAAGAGTGATAGTGTGTTCCTATAATCCCAGCAGTGGGGAGGTAGAAACAAGAGGATCCCTGGGGTATGCTGTCCAGTCAGTCTAGCTGAATTGGCAAGTCCCAAGTTCAGTAAGAGACCCTGTCTCAAAATATAGAGAGTGATCGAGGTCATCCTTGACCTTTGCATATATACATTTAAACACATACACACACACACGCACGCACGCACGCACGCACGTGCACGCGCTAAAAAATATTATTCATCCAATCTCTGAAAATACCACTTAAGGTATCTATTATTCACAGGCAAATCAAAAGCAAATCATTGATTAAAATGGTCTTCTCTAGACCTCTATCTGTGAATGCTTAGACAACATGTAAGAAGATTATGTCATTCATTTCCATAGATCCTGCTATCTACCATATGAGGCAATGCAGTAGAGGTTCAACTCTTTCCCAGCTCAGTTCCCTGTCCTCATGCCTTCTTGGCTGTGTTGCCATCACAGCCCCCCAGTCCTTGCTTCCCTCATTAAGATAGCATTTACTGGAGCACCTTGCAGTCACTCATGAAGTGTCAAAGGCAGATAGGAACATCTGTGACTAGCAAGGTCTCTTGAATGTAGGTGCAGTATGATTTTATCCTCTCTGTTAGCAAACGCAGGGCGTCTGAGCACTCATGTCCTGAGCTCTGGAATGACATGGGAGGAGGCTGAATCCTGTGCCTGCAAACACTGCATGTGTTTGTAAACAAGTTACTTTGCAGGACCTCCATTTCCTTGTCTCTGAAATAGGAATGCTTGGTACCACCTCACAAAGTAGCTGTTAGGATTAAACGAAGTGGAGAGCCATGTGTGGTGGAATACACCAGTAGTCCCAGCACTCGGGAAGCTGAGGTAGGAGGGTTGTAAGTTTGAGGCCAGGCTGGGCTTCACAGCTAGACATTGTCTCAAAATAAAATAAAAATATTAAAATTCAAAGCTAGTGCCCATAAGCAAAATGCTTATCTGGCACATAGCCAGCCCTCATTAAATACCAGCCCCTGCTCACTGTAAGCTTCCTGAGACCTGGACATGACCTTGTTTCTGTTTCATTGCTCATCTTCCCTAATACTTCTTCCACATGCAGCCTGCATAAAGACTTCTAGTCAGTGCTTGCCCTCGGCTGTCTGCCTGACCGGCTCTAGCTGGAGTCAAAAATGTTGTCTTGGAAAATTCCCTGGGAGGTTGTACGACTCAGACACCAGCTGGGCCTGACTGTAGCAGTCAGTGTTCTGAAATCCTGACCCTGGCATGTCCAGGGTGCAGATCTCATTCTCTACATCGGAAGTGGCAGAGTGATGCCCTCACACGCCAGCTCCAGTTTCATTAGTGCATGTCTACCAGGCGCTCACTCTGTTCACCTCATTACACTGTGTCATCTGAGAGGATATGGAGTGATTAAGATCTGTGTCTGGGAGCTGCCTTCCAGTTCTCAGTTACATTTCTGTCTACAGACTTGATCAAGCCCCTGGAATCCAAAGCTGACTCATGGGAACACAGTTCTGGGTTTTTGTAGCCTTGCTCAAGCCTTAAAGACTGGTATAGTGTCCAACAGCCATGAGAGTTTTGATGTTGTCACAAAAGACCTATATCATGACTGTTTTCCTCAAATTTTCTCTTTTATAAAACAATGTTAGCTTGTGGAAGGTAGGGGCATGCCTGCCACCCTGCATTCAGGAAGCAGAGGCAGGAGGATTGTGAATTCAAGGCCAGTGTAGGCTATGTAGTAAGACCCTGTCTCAAATAACAGAACAGAATGGAACATTAGCAGCTCAGCTCAGACCCCAGGCTTGTAAGGAACAGGATCCATTTGGCCAGTGTTCACATCTGCTTTTAGATGTCAGGGAAGAGCCCATCTTCTAGAACTAGTTTACTTCTCAGACCCCGTGCAAAGACGAGTGAGTAATAGGCTATCCATAGATCCAGCCTCTTGGAGGCTTCAAGGGGGAATGAGGGCAGTGTGGTCCTTGAATGGTTCCCATGTATAGGTCAGGTTCATGTGGGTAATGTTAGCCCTGGCATCTGGACTCTGAAATCCAAGCTGTGCTGTAGCTAGAGACCTGTTCACCTAGGCAGCAGGGCCCAAGGAATCAAGAAGTTAACAAAGGGGCTGGAGAGATGTCCCAGCAGGTGAGAGCAGTGGCTGCTCAAATAGAGGACTCAAGTTCAGTTCACAACCACTTGTTATTCTAGCTCCATGAATCTGATGAGCTCTGCTGGTCTCTGTGGCTGGTTGGCTGGTTCTCTCTCTCTCTCTCTCTCCCTCTCTCTCTCTCTCTCTCTCTCTCTCTCTCTCTCTCTCTCTGTCTCTGTCTCTCTCTTTCTCTCTCTCTCTCTTTCTCTCTCTCTCTCTCTCTCTCTCTCTCTCTCTCTCTCTCACACACACACACACACTGGTATAATAAAATTATTTTTTAAAGGGAAGTTAGTTGCAAATAGGTACAGGCACATTCTGATGCCCCACACCCTGCCTTGAGTCATGGCGCTAACCCAAGCTTTAACTAAAGCTGTAGAATTCAAAGCTACAGCTATGCCTCATCTCAGCTGCGCCTCTTCTGCCAAAAGGTGCTCGGTGCTGAGTTGAGGTTAGGCTTGAATACTGATGTGAAAAATAAAAAGGAGGCCCTTTCTGCTCTTTATGATTAGTACATACAGTGGGTTATTTATCTCTGGGCCCCAGGGTCCTCGGGAGCATTTGCAAGGGCACATGGAATTGAACCATTCCCGTATTGTAATGCTCCTTGCTAGTTTGTGATTTTCAGAGGACCTTGTGGGATTTGCAGGGTCATTAATTAGTCTTACAACTGAGGTCATTTATGTCTGAACACACAGCAGAAATAAAATCCATTTGCCTAAACTTACCCTAGAGAAAACAGCACAGTGTGCTGTTGGGAAAAGATTCACAGCCCAGTCCTCGCTCTGCTGTTGCTGGCCCCTTGTTCACAAACAGTGCCTGCCTACTCTGTGCTCAGGGTCCTGTTTAAATAAGAGTACTGGCCCAGGCACTCTTCAAGTGCCTTCCAGACCTTTCCTATTGCTCCAAACTTCATTTTTGTCAAGTTGTTTTTTTTTTTCTTCATGTATTTTCTTCCTTCATTTGTTTGGTTTGGTTTTGTTACAGTGCCCTACTATGTAACCCAGGGCTGTCTGCAAGTTCACAAACCTTGCCGGGGGTGGGGAGGCCTTTAATCCCAGGCAGAGACAAGCAGATCTCTGTGAGATAGAGGCCAGACTGGTCTACAGAGTGAGTTCCAGGACAACCAGGGTTACACAGAGAAACCTTGTCTTGAAAAACAAACAAACAAACAACTTCACAAATCTCCTGGCTTGGCCTGCTGGATGACGAGATGCTAAGCAAGCACTACCACTATACCCAGCTTGCTTTGTGTTGTCTTTCTCTGTCATATCAACAGGGTGGGAAGATAGCTTAATGCTAAAGTGCATGCTTCGTATGTACAAGATTCTGGGTTCAATCCTTAGCACCATAAAAAAGATTACTTCTGGATATGTGCCATAGGAACATTTTGAAATTGTACATAACATAAAATGTG